GTGGTGACCTCTGATAAATCAGAGACTTAGCAGAAGGAAAATGAATGAATGAAATTGCCTACAACTGGAGGTGACTTCAAGGGATAGTTCACCCAAAAATGAACTATTTGCCTCAAGTGGTTACAAACCTTTATGAGTTTCATTCTTCTGTTGAGCACAAAAGAAGATGTTTTGAAGAATGCTAAAATCCTGTAAACTTTGACTTCTATAGTGGAAAAAACAAATACTATGAATGTCAGTGGTTGCAGGATTCTAGCTTTCTTCAAAACATCTTTTGTGTTCAACATAAGGAACAGCTTTGTGATATGCGAGTAAATGATGACAGAATTTGCTTTTGTTTTGTGCAAACTATTGCTTTCAAATGCATAACAATTACAGTGTTTAGCATAAATGAGTACACCCCAATTTTGAATATAGGTCATATATTTTGGTGCATTTGAAGAAAGCAGATTTATTAAACAGATATATTTATTAAAATATTATTTTAGTCACCAAACAATTTTTAGAAATACACTGATAATACATTGAAATTCATGCGAAATATTGGAAAAGAATTACAAACTGCAAAATCTCAACAAAAAGAGTTTTGCTCTTTTTTTATATTTAATAATAATTTTAATAATATTTAATAATATATTTTTAAATTATTATTTGTATTTTAGTATTACTCTTAAATGTATTTCATTGTATTTTTAATACCAGTTGTTATGTTTTTATTTTTTTTTATTGTCTAGTTTATTTTATTGTAAAGCACTTTGGATCAACTACAGTTGTGTAAAATTGTGCTCTATAAATAAAGTTTGCCTTGCCTAATATTTTTTTATAACATATAAACTTAGATGCATTGATTTTGGACCATTATCATAATTTATTTTCTTAGATTAGCTCCAGATTTGGCTTTAGTGCTGACTAATCTAATGTATATACACAAACACAATATTGTAAAGCTTCATTAAAATAATTCTATTCCAGATATCTATATCATTACTAATATCTAGCTCTCTTATTTTTGATTTTCAGAAGCACAACGCTCTGAAGATGCAGAAGAAGACATCTCATAATGACTGTGAAAGTGATGTGTCATCTAACAGCCCGATGAGAGACCCTCCAGGCTCTTCCTGCACCAATGAGATGTCAGCGATTTCTGACAGCAGCCAATCAGATCTCAGCAGATCTCGTGTCAGTTCCTTTAGAGAGCACTTACACTCGAGGAAGCTCAAACCATCTAAAAAACCCCGCAAATCAAAATCTGCACGCTCAAAATGCTCTGTAGCTCCTCAGAAGTCTGCCGTGGTCATGAAACACTTCATTTGTGCTCCACACGGTGGCTCAAGGTCAAGTCTAGAGTCACACTGCCGAGAAAGCAATAAGCCTGACTCAAGTGTTCAAATGCAACACGTAGAATGTGAGTCTAGTGTAAAAGAAAAGATTTCCTGTGACCCGGTGGATTACTTAGTAGAGCGTGAAATTGTAAACTCAACACCCACACACTGTTTGTGGCATGTGTCAGGGTTGGAACATGTTAAAAAATCAATTGAGGTTAAAGAGACAGTCAGCAGAGTCCATGCAAAACATACAAGCCATGTTCATAAGAATTCAACAAGCATTTCTGCAAACGCTGTGAAGGACACCTGAGAGACAATAATAGTTTTACAATACAAATATTTCAAGTGAAAAATAATGTAGTTATTGTAAAATAAATGCCTATTTAAATTCAGAAATATTCTAAATCTTTGTCTATTTATTGTTTATTATTTCTTTTAACCCAAATTAGCTTTTTTATTCAGCTCAGTTTAAAAGGATAGTTCACCCCAAAATTTTATTTCGGTCACTATTTACTTCCCGCCAAGTGGTTCCAAACCTTTATGAGTTCTTTTGTTGAACATAAAAAAAATATTTTGTAGAATGCTGACAACCTGTAACCATTGACTTCCATAATAAAAAAATGTTTTAATGTAATGGTTGCAAGTTTTTAGCTTTAGTTTTCTCCGTTTAAAGGGATAGTTCATCCCAGAATGTTATTTCTGTCATCATTTACTCCCCATCAAGTGGTTTCTGACCTTGATGAGTTTCTTTCGTCTTTTGAACACAACAGAAGATATTTTGAAGAATGCTAAAAACCTGTAACTATTCACTTACATAGTAGAAAATAAAATAAATGCTATATATGTAAATAGTTGCAGGTTTCTAGCTTTATTGGTTTAAAGGGATAGTTGACCCAAAGATTTTATTTTCATCATCATTTGCTTCCCATCATGTAGTTCCAAACCTTTATGAGTTTCATTCTTCTTTTAAACACAAAAGAAGATATTTTGAAGAATGAGGAAAACCTGTAACCATTGACTTCCATAGAAGAAAAAGAATACTATGTATGTATATGGTTGCAGGTTTATAGCTTTCTCTGTCTAAAGAGATAGTTCACCCAAAAATGTATTTTGGTCACTATCATATCTTAACCCAAGTTAGCACTTTTCAGTCACCTCAGTTTAAAGGGATAGTTCACACAAAAATAAAATTTTCATCTCATTTACTTCCCATCAATTGGTTCCAAACCTTTATGGGTTTCTTTTTCTGCTGAACACAAAAGAAGATATTTTGAAGAATGCTGAAAACCTGTAACCATTGACCTTTCATAGTAGAAAAAGAATACTATGTATGTAAATGTTTGCAGGTTTCTAATTTTTTCTGTTTAAAGAGATAGTTCACCCAAAAATTAATTTTGGTCATTATCAAATCTTAACCCAAGTTAGCATTTTCATCACCTCGATTTAAAGGGATAGTTCACACAAAAATATTATTTCAGTCATCATTTACTTACCCTCAAGTGATTCCAAACCTTTTTGAGTTTCTTTTTTCTGTTGAACACAAAATAAGATATTTGAAGGATGCTGAAAAACAAATACTATAGATATCAATGGTTGCAGGTTTCTAGCTTTCTCTGTTTAAAGGCATAGTTCACCCAAAAATTTTATTTCAGTCATCATTTACTCCCTGTTAAGTGGTTCCAAACCTTCATGACTTTCTTTCTTCTGTTGAATACAAAATACAATACTTTAAAGTAAGCTGTAAATCTGTAACCATTAACTTCCATAGTAAAAAAAAATAAAAAATACTATGGAAGTCGGCTGACATGGTGGCCTCACAGAAAGAAGGTCGCAGGTTTGAGTCACTGCAAATGTTTTTCTTACTTCGATTTTTTTGTCTTGTTTCCAGTCCAAATATTTAAAAATTCCTAAATTAAGAAGCATTTTCTAGGTAAGCGAAACATAATGTCTTGTTTTTGAGAAATAATATGCCAATATTAAGTGAGTTTTTCCTTAAAACAAGCTAAATAAGCAAACTTTTTCCTTTTGAAGTAAGATTATTTTGCTTACCCCATTGGCAGATTACTTTGCTTGTTTGAAGGAAAAACTCACTTCATTTTGGCATATTATTTCTTAAAACAAGACAATATGTTTTGCTTTTGTAGAAAAATCTTTTTTTTTTTCGCAGTGTGTGTGGAGTTTGCATGTTCTCCCCAGGTTTCCTCCAGGTGCTCTAGTTTACCCTTTCAGTCCAAATAGCATTTTTAGTATTTAAAGCACTGAAGTTGTTTCTAGCTTTTAAGAGTTTCTTGTTTTCTTCTGTTCAACAGAAAAGGATATATTTGAAAAATGTTGGAAACTGGTAATCACTAATTTCCATAATAGAAAAAAACTAATATTATGGAAGTCAGTGGCTTCTGGGTTTACAAAATTTTTCAAAATGTCTTATTTTCTGTTTGACATAAAAATAAAAATAAAAACTCTAACTGGTTTGGAACAAGTGGAGGTTGAGTAAAAGATGACAGAACTTCATTTAGGGAGAACTTTATTAAGTACAGTGGGGGAAATAAGTATTCAACATGTCAACATTTTTCTTAAAAAGCATATTTTTGAAGGTGCTGTTGCATTGAAATACTCCCCAGATGTTAGCAACAACCAATGAAATCCACATATGCCAAAAAAAACTATTATTAGTTTACAAACAAGTATTGAACATGCCACCATTTTTTAAAGCATTTATAAAGGTGCTGTTGACTTGACATTTTCACCGGATGTTGGTAACAACACAAGAAATCCATATATGGAAAGAAAACAAAACTAATTAAATTATGTGTAATAAAATGGAATGGTAGTGAAAAAATATTGAACGCATGAAGAAAGGAAGGTATAAAAAGGCAGTGAAAGCAGCTTAAATCTCTCAGAAGTTCTTCAGCAACCCTCTGTCCTTCATTATTGTACATTTAATATTTGCTGCTTCAGTCCAACATCTGTGTTAACAGGATGATTATAAAACCTGAGCGGTAGACATTTTATCTAGACAATGATCCAAAACACAGCCAAACAATCTCTCAAATCCTTTCAGAGACAGAAAATCAAGCTGTAGAATGGCCCAGCCAATCACCTAACTTGAATCCAATGGAAAGTAAAGATCAGATTTGATAGACGAGACCCAACAATCAAGATTTGCACACATGAGCAATGCATATGACTTCTCCGTCACCAAAAAGTGTTTTGTATAAAGTATTAACTACGTTTCAATATTTCAGTACATTATTCTTGTGTTATTACAATGCTGTTACGCATAACTATTTTTCTCATTTTTTTTATTCATTTATTTATTTTATTTTTTTTGTATTGTTCCGGTTTTTACCAAAATAGGGTTCACTTCCCATATCAACAGCTCCTTTAGAATATTTTTCTCAGAATAAAAAACATGAAAAACATGAAATTTTTCAATTTCTGAATACTTGTTGACAACCTAGAGGCTCCAGTTATTTATATTTGTGTTTATCTGTGTATTCAGACTTGTACATAATGCAGTCTATCTATTGTATGTCATGATGAGTCATGTGTGACAGACTGAAAGTGAACTGAGACGTCACAGTTTGAGCTCTCCATATATTCTGGCTGCATCAGTACACGTGGCATGCAGAGGCGTGTGTGTCCTACAGGGGGCGACAGGACGAGCAGCAGGGCATTATGGGGCGGAGATGGCATTCTAGTACACACACAGAGACGACGGCAAAGCAAGGCTAGTACGAGACCTGTAACACACCTGCAAGCGAAAAAGGACACCTATAAACGGCCCGCGAACCACCAAAAGTGTCCTGCAGACGAGGACTTTGCTCTTGTATTTCGGTGTCATGGCTCCAAATGATTTGATGAGCAACGCGGAGGACGTGGCGGATCAGGTGAGAGAACTGAAGGCCCCGGTAGCCAACTTAACGTTACTCTTAAATCACGGAGAATAACGTTACACTGCTCCGCTAAACAAACACACATCAAGTTCGGTAAAGCTTGCGTTTATACAGCGAGACAGCTGTGCTTGGCTGCAGTTCGCATTTATTAGCGAACTTCTAGTCTTGTGACTCTGAAGTGAAGTTAGTGTTCACGAGATCTGTGATTATTCTTGATTGTCGACCATATGTGTTGATATATTGAATGTGTATTAAGAGTTTAGTTAAACCTGCTTTTGAGTACTGATAAGTAGTCGCAAATGTATGTAACGTTAAATTAGTGACGTTAAATGTAACGTTACTGTATTTGTGAGATTTCAAAACGTTCAAATGTCACGTTATCTTTAATCTTAATGATCTGCAGCCAAAGTAGACCCACTATGTTACTGTAGTAAGCATACAATGACTGATTAGAAAATTATGTTCATCAAATGCACAAATGACAGCGTTTGTTTATGATTATGTTGCAAAAATATGCTTATTTTAGGTGATTATTAGATTATTTGTTTTAGTGTTGAGCAATAACTGCTCATTTTGGGCTTAAAAAAGGGACAATTCTGTCATTCTCACCATTTACTTGTCCTAAACCGTTGAGTTTCTAGGGTAAGTAAATTTTGGGTGAACTGCCCCTTTAATTACAGACAACTTAATACGTATGCCATTATTGTATGGTTGTTGTCTGTGTTTTTAGCTCTTTACAAAGCTCTTAATGTCCTGTTAGTTTAATATACTCATTGCTATACGCTTTAACCGTCCAGAAACGGTAATATTCATAATTTAAATGTAGTTTAAGCACATAGCTACTGAGTTAATATTAACCCCCCTTGTTTTCACCCAACGCAGTCGTTCTACATGTATTAAAACTGTAACAAGGCAAACATAAAGTCTGCAGAATTCCTGTGCTGCTTGGAAACATGACAAACACCCTGCAGGCGCACAGACTGCGAGTAAAGTGTTGACACACAGGCAGACATTGGCCCTCATATCTCTTCCCATTCATTTAGTTCTGCCTGGTACTTGTTGAACGCTGATTGGCTCGTTTTCCGCTTAGTGCTGATGTGGATCGTTTGTGGGCGGGGCTTAGCAGAGGCTTAGCCATTGAGAATAGAGGCTGCGTTATTACAGATTATGAAACCCTGCCATGTATTGACAATGTATATAATTTTACTAACTCTATAATATGCGAACGTTTCATCTTACAACGTAGTTATTTAAAAGCATATTATTATCCACTTTGAGAACAAGGAGACTGAGATATTAATTTAGTCTTATCTGTATTCAAATGAGATGCCTAATGTTACAGGTTAAGCTATTCGAATGTAATATAATGTAAATTGCAAAATCTTTTTTTTCATTGGAAAAAGGGGAAGTGTATTAAAATGCTGAAGCTCTTGCTCATGACTCATTGTTTGCAAATCGAGGAGCTTTTGGACACCTGTGCACTGATATTGACTGAAAATGTGGAGAAAAGGGTAATTGGAGCTCAGAGGTTGAACAATAAAGAGCAGGCATTGAAGAGAACTGCATCAGAACTGTCTTAATGTGTACTGACTCTAAAAGTAACTGTCAAACATATGCTTTTTTAGGGTTCAACGCTAAGGATTTTTTGTACTGGTATGATGGTGGTTCCAACCAGTGGTTTAGATTTTTACTTGCCCTGCCAAAATTTTCACTGGCCCCACCAAAAAAAGGGAAGTTAATAGCTATATTTTAGCCTCATATTTTAAATAATGTGTCAAAAATAAAGTCTGTGAATCTACAATTTTAATCTTTAAAAAAAAAAATAATTAAAGTGTTATGCAAACAAAAAGAGAAGTATGGAAAATGTGGAGGTATTTTATTACAGTTCGAAATTATTTAACAAAAGGTGGGCTGACTTGTCAAACTGACGGCAAACTGTGCAAAACATCACTTAATTTTTTTTGGTCGCGTTGTTCACATGTAAATGTCTGCTTCCAAGACATTAGAAACAGACATTTTCTTTTAACCTTCTCTGTACTGGTTGTTACCAGGTTATGGAAAAAATTGCATGCTCAAAACATCAAATCGGAAAAGAGGAACCGGAAAACAATATGGTGTTTATGACGTCACAGACAAGGTAGTGTTTAAAGACTTAAAAGCACAAACTTAAAATCTACGCTATTGACAAATAATCACAGACAAATTAAATGTTAGTGACAAGGCAGTACTGTCCCAATCGGGCCAGTAACGATCCTGTCTACTGTCCCAAGCGTCTCTCACGCTGGCCCTGGGCCACCGGGCAGTCTGCAATATCCCATTTTTAATGTTATCAGACAATGTCAGCATTGTCATTCACAATAGTCACATCACGAGTAGACGCAATATTGAGTGTTGAGACATGTGTAAATGTGTGAGGGTTTTAAAAGCATTTAGGCATAAGAAATTGTAACTTTGACAAATTCAATGATCGATTTTATTGAACTGTTCATAAAATGAAGACTCTGGAAAACATTAAAACACAGTTTTTTCATTTCTATCTTTTTCTGTAATTAATTTATTTATGATTGTAGATTGTTTATTATATTTTGTGCACTACCGTACAGAATTAGCCTAATCAATCTAAAAAATGAAAAAAATTCTCTCCAAGTACAGTAGTTTTTCTCCTCTAGTGAAATGGTAGTCGTGTCGTATCACAATATATATCGCGGAATAAAAATGTTTTGCAATACATATATATATACATATACATACACACAATTTATTTATTAGGGCAGAAGATATTGAGTATTATTTAAAAAAATATTTATACAATGATGATGACCCATGTTTTTTTATGTTTGATTGTTCGATTTCTGTACTGAAATACTGTTATACCCCAGAAAACCTTTTTAGTTTTGACTGTCATATTTATATATGCTTGTAATTTATTATATTTTATACAGAAGCACTGCATAGAAGTAAAAGGCTTAATCATCCCAGTTGATCTAAATTAACACACACGTGTATATATATTACTACTATTAAATATGTTGGGGTTGATAAGTTACAAAAGTAGTTTTGTAAATTTGTAAATGCTAACAAATTTATTTATTTATATATATATATATATATATATATATATATATATATATATATATATATATATATATATATATATATATATATATATATATATATATATATATATATATATTACATTACTACTATTAAATATGTTGGGGTTGATAAGTTATAAAGTGATTTTGTTAATTTTTTACATGCTAACAAATTTATTTTTATATATATATATATATATATATATATATATTTATTTATTTTAAGTTGTATTTGTTTTAGAATAAGTATTTATATACTTTTTTAAAATGTCATTTATTCCTTTTACTAATTCTGAACTACATAACTCATTGTTTGATTCTTCAAAAATCAACCTGAATTGCTCATCTGGTGTCTAAATAATACTTAATATTATTACAATTTGTAATTTCTTTAACTTCTCAAACTTTTTTTACTTATATCCTGTGATGTAATAATGGTAGTTCATGCTCATGGTTGGCATAAAGCTGTGTCTTTCTCACCAGTAATTATTACCGTAAATTGTAGTTGTGTTCAGAATAAAACACCTAATTTCTGTTGTTCAAACCTTGATTTAGGGTTTAAAACTCAGCTGTGACTCTCTGTAAAGGCCTGAAGTTTCTCCCCAGTATTTAGACAATCTTTTGCCATGTTTCTGCACTCCATTAAGCAGAGCTCTGTTTGTTGTTAGGATAATAAAAATGTTTAAAAGTTACATTTTAAGCTGCTTAAAAGCTGCTTTAGCTGTTCAATTAAATCAAAGCAGACACAGTTTACCAGTAAGGGTGTGAAATATTTATCTTTGAGGATAATCTCATATTTGCCGTTTTAACAGTGTAAAGCTAACATTATCAGATGTCTGCTCACTTTACACTAAGCAAACACCAGCACATCTTTAGAGTCTACAATTGTTCACTGTGATGAACATGATAAAATGATTGTATTTCATGTTAAGAAACCAAAAATGAACTATATATATAAATTTATATTAATATAACTGCAGCAGGAATGCTTTTTGTCCTGACTATCAGTGCATCTCTAGCGTAATAATGATTTTACCACAGTTCATACAGAGTCTCTTTCGCAAAATAAAAGAAAAGAAATAGTTCCAAGCTAAATTCAGAATGTCTGTTTCTAAATTAATTGGGTTTTGATCATATGATTTGAGTCAGTGACCCTTTTATAAGTCACTTGCAGCGATTTTAAATTTATTGAAGGGGTAAAATATATGATAATTATTAAAGGGATATAAGGCGAGGCAGTGGCGCAGTAGGTACTGCTGTTGCCTCACAGCAAAAAGGTCGCTGGGTCGCTGGTTCGAACCTCGGCTCAGTTGGCATTTCTGTGTGGAGTTTGCATGTTCTCCCTGCCTTCACGTGGGTTTCCCCCACAGTCCAAAGACATGCTGTACAGGTGAATTGGGTAGGCTAAATTGTCCGTAGTGTATGAGTGTGTGTGAATGTGTGTGTGTGTAGATGATTCCCAGAGATGGGTTGCGGCTGGAAGGGCATCCGCTGCGTAAAAACTTGCTGGATTAGTTGGCAGTTCATTCCGCTGTGGCGACCCGGGATAAATAAAGAGACTAAGCCAACAATAAAATGAATGAATGAAAAAAAATGGATATAAAGAATGTTTGCTGTACTTAAACACAAAAGAAGATTCTACTATGAAAGTGATTGTTGCATAAGAAGATATTTTGGAAAATGCTAAAAACATGTAACCATTGACTTGATGCCATGTACTAATCATTTTTGTCTTATTTATTTATGTCTGACAGCGCACAAACTCACAGAGCAAAGCACTTTTATTATTGTTATCAACACTATATTTTTAAAACACTAACAAAAACAATATTTTGTTAATATTCCACATAATATTCTTTCCTTTTTCAGAATTCAAGCATCAAGTGTAAGTTGTAACATTTAAATTAGTGTGAGGTGAAATGTCAAAAATAAAGTATGCTACTGTTAAACAAGTTATAATGTCCCTCTAGTGTTACAAAACACACAACTTGCATAACTAATGTGATTGGTGTAATTCCTAACTGAATGTAATGAGGCAAGAAAGGCTTTGTTTGGACATATAAATGTGTAGGTGTGCTAGGGCTGGGCAGTATATTGAGTTCTGGTAATATAGCGATATGATTCCCCAACGCAAAAAACGCGGGATTATCCCATTTCTTTCTTATCGAAGTGGTTTGAGGCCACATGTGCGCATTCTGCATGAAACGGACCACTCCAAGGTAGCACGCGAGCTCCACTTGGACAAATGAGCGCATGTGCAAATGAATGTTTCACTCCCTGAGTCATACAAAAGATTTGGTTCAAAATTAACGAATCGTTCAAGAACGACCCATCACTACACGTGACATGGAGAAACATGCAGTGCCTGTGTTGATTTGAAATCTAACTCCCCGGACAAAACAAAAGGGTTGGAGCTAAACTCTCCAGGACACCGGCCCTCCAGGACCAAATGTGGACACCCCTGACATAGATAGATGTTTGTTTGTGATTTAATTGTCCCAATGTGGGTGGAGTTCATGCAAATAACCTTTGCCAACAGACCAATATTTATTTATTTTTTATTTTATGGTTTAAAAAAATGCCCTTCACAATTTGTTACACACTTTTATTTACATACATCTACATCTTTTTCTTATATTTTCTACAGTTCCTTCGAGTGACGAAGCAGTACCTTCCTCACATAGCACGCCTCTGCCTGATCAGCACGTTTCTAGAGGACGGCATTCGTATGTGGTTCCAGTGGAGCGAACAGAAAGAATACATCGAGACGACGTGGAGCTGCGGCTTCTTCCTGGCCACTCTGTTTGTCTTAATAAACTTACTCGGGCAGCTGGGTAAGAAGTTTGATCTTTGGCATGGATCTTCAGTTCTGGTTGTGCAATGATGTATATCGATCTCCTCTGCTGAACAGGTGGTTGTATACTGATCCTGAGCAGGAATTTTGTGCAGTACGCTTGCTTTGGATTATTTGCTATCATCGCCTTACAGGTGAGGGCATTCACTATGCGTTCTGTGAGATATCGTGATTGTAAATAGATGTTATGTTTGGGTTGGACTGTAATTGAGTTTAATTACAGTCTTGATCTTTATCTCTTCCAGACTGTTGCCTACAGCATTCTTTGGGACCCAAAGTTTTTGATGAGGTAAGATGTTTGCTGGATTTGAGTTGATTAGTGGTTGTCAATTCCAATTACTGCAACCCATCGCTTTGCACGTCTTTCTCATGTACGACAGATAACTAGTTCATTTTAAGAGAGCTCTAGAGAGATTTGTGACAGTAAATTTCTCAACAAAAATAATTTTCAGTCAGAGAAATTATTGCGATTTTTAAAAATTTATTTTTGATTTTAAAGTACACATAAGGTCAAAACTAACCGTATTGATTTTGTTAGCTTACATTGCTAGTTTTGTTTTGAACAATTCATCTGTCAGTGTCATTAAGGAAAAAACAAATAGCTTGTCGTTGTGATGTAAAAATGAAATCTGAAAATGCACTTCCTGTTTCTTTTCAGTTAAATTCTTAGATTACGCCAGACTAAGAATTGGGTGTGGTTAATACTTAACCACGTTCCTCCAATTGTCAGTTTTGAAAGTGCTATATGACAACAATGGTGAGGAGGAGGTGTCTGTTAAGTTTAAAAACTCTCCCCAAACCCTTTTCTCAATCTTTCGGAATGAAATGCCTACTTTACTACAGCTAATTAGCTTGCAGTAGAAAGAAAGCAAACCACGCTCGCTGTTTTCTATATATATATATATATATATATATATATATATATATATATATATATATATATATATATATATATATATATATATATATATATGCAAGCGTAAGGAAAATATGTCTCAACGAAATCCCGTTATCGCAAGAAAATAGATTTTTATAACATAACTGAGTGACCAAAGCATACACGGACCGCTCACCAGCCCTGCACGCACTGCTTGACATGAATGAATCTGTTAATGATATAATTGTGCTGTTCTCACGGGTGCTGTCTGATATTGCACTGATGCTTTTGATATATACTGTACCTTATTATATACATACGTCATCTTTTTATGAGTAGCGATGTTAGTTTACTCAGTGCAAGCCCGTTTGTGAAGGTGTACGTGGTGTTAAATTTGACATATAGCTGCCACTTGCACGGCGGACAGCATCTGGCGATTATATGGAGGATTAAACAGAAGCTCTCGTGCTAGATGTGGCAAACAGTTACATGAAAATTCCATCCCACAGACTTTTCATAACAGACTTGAAGCCAACGGAAGTCTTTTATCCACACTTCGAAAAGTGTAGATGGTGGATGAACATTCAGCACATGGTCACTAGTAAGATGTGTCATTATTTGTAACTTTAGATGCCAGGGTTTCTAAAACAAAATCTGTCAGTGTTATCTTCATTCTCATCTTCAGCGTTTTACAATTTTTCGCGGTAGTAGCTCTCTGTCATCCCAAGCCAGAAGGCATTGACTGAGTGATTGACAGCTGATATTTCAGTGCTAGAGCAGTGGTGGGCCAATAAGAAGAGCGCGAATGCGGGGCAAGCATTAAGGACTTGGCTTTGTTTACTGCAGCAAGTTGACATGACAACTGTTTAAAACCATTCCTGAGCGCTACGTTTCAAGTGCAGACAAAGAGCTTAGAGGGCATTCTGCGTGAATGTCTCCCGAATCTGCGCATGTGGTGAACATTTTGCAGTAAAAACTTGTCGCACACAACAATTTTATGCACTCGCACAAATGCTCCCAAATATATTTTAAGGTCGCATAGATAAAATTTCTGGCGCATATGTGACCAAAATGGTCGCAATTTCGAAGCAGTTTCTCATTTAATATTTAGTTTCTCTAGGAACTACGTCACAATATGGAAAAAAAAAACATTGCAGCTTCTGGTTTATGTGGACTTTAAAGTCTACCTGAACTGGAAGTTTGCCGAGACATTTATTTTAGTATATTGATGTTCTTCTAAATTAAATATTGAGTAGGAGGAGGGGCTTTCTTTCTGCGCATCATTCCAAACTAATAGAAACTCACACCCGATTCACTAGGGACTTCACTATCAATGCTTGATGGAGGGCGTGTCTGAAGTTGTAGCTGACGCGATCGTCATAGCAACTTTAGCCAATGAAATTAGTCCACAGTCGGCTACTGTCTGATGGAGTATTTTTATAAATCAATCTGATTAGTTGACTCTTCCATTGACGCTTAAAAAGTTGAGAAACTTCCAACATCTGCAGCAAGCTCCTGAAGCCTGGTTTACACTCGTCGCGTCCGCTAGTTCGCTTAAGTGCACGCGGCGAATGTGACGTCATCTATGTATATGCGGAGGATAACTGGGTGCATGCGACATGGTTTCGGCTTGCGGGGCGCATGTTTTTTTTTGAGACTCGAGCGAACAGTGCTGCGTTGCATTGGAGTTGAATATCACTTTGAAGAGATTATTTCTGAAACAGGTATGCCTTTACAGACATCTTTATGATCCCTGATCATAGAGATAACCAGATGATCAATAATTTGTTGCTAGAAATCGCAACAGCCGTGGGAAAGGAGGAAAGTTTTTGTTAAAAAGTTTGGAAAAACCTGAGGGATGAGTTTGTTAAGAGGCCATGGCAAAAGTGGAGACCCAGTTACACATTTACAGAATATGTTTTTCCACCAGTCATAGGTTTTACACTAATGTATGTTACAATTTAGAATTTTAAAACAATTTAATACGCACAAAACTGTAATTAAGGAACAAACTATTTCTATGATTACTGGGATGGAATATTTGAACCTATCGGATTACAATATACTGATGGCCTGTTTTTCTAGGCTTGATTGTTAATAATGGTCAGGAATGTTGGACCATTATCACCTTTTGAGCATAAGTATAGGACCGAAACTAGCCAGACAATAATGTATGAATTGTGGAGCGGGCTAAACCTAAAAAAAAATCTGTATTCTGATATTACGGTGGGTTTCTTTTGAACACCCCCTGTCGTTTTAAAGAATATCCCAATTGCGAACTTGACAAGTTAAAAAAAAAAAGCCTCGTTCGTTTCGCGAGGTGCGCACGCAGTCAGCAGAGGTGCGTGATGCGGCGCCAGGCGAAAGTATAAATCCATCGCAGACGGATCCACAATTCAGTTCGGCAATGCTTGACATCACCCATTTAAAGTGAAGGCGTCATAATCTAAAAATCATGCCCCACCCAGTGGGGGAAAACCATCAAACCACTCCATTGACTTTGTAGTGGTGGAGGGTGCCCCCTTTTATAAAAAAAAAAAAAAATGTAATTAAAGAAATAATCCGCTTGTTAAGTGATGACGTGTTTGTGACGTATGTATACTGTTTCCGGGTCCAAGCTGCCATTCATTTGAGTGGAGAAATCCTTCGTTTATGATCACGTTTTATTCCTATCACACATTAAAGTTAATTTTATATAAAATCATAGTGTACACAACAATCTCTGGGCTTGCTGCATAACAAATACCAAAAATTTTACAATTTATAAAAAAAATCACTTTCTGGCCATCGGATATTAGGCATGGACATATATACTGCCATCGTGATTTTCGAAAGCATTAAATCGCTTTGTAAACGTTTATTATTAACATTTCAGGAGTCTCCCCATTCAGATAAATAGAGCGCTTGGACCCGGAAGCCGCTTCGCGTGACGTCACACTTAACAAGCGGATAATAATAAAGCATTGTCTGAAAGTTACTATGTAACAAAATGTAAAGAAGACAAGCTAAAAACAAAACATTTCCAGAACCAGGATACCTACTTGTTTTTTTGGGGTCAACAAGTTATAAAAACGTGTTTCTTGATTTTGGAATAAACTGTGTTTATTGCTCTGCACTCCCTGAACATGGGGAATCTTAACTTCTGAATATTCATTCAGAGCTAATGTCTGCCGAGCCTTCACACACAGATGAGATATACTTGAGTAGTGTGATGTAAAGTATCCTAGTACCATAACAAACACATTGCACGTTTGTATTTACGTATATGCTCCTTTCAAATTGTTATCGTAGCTTGTGGTATATGTGGTGAAGTTCACTATGTAGGACACTTACTGTTTAATTAGAACGTCTAAAGTGATAAAAGAAATGGGAGTAGGGCTGCACAATATATACAACCATTATCGTTATCGCAACAATAGGAAATGCAATATACTTATTGCTGGTAAGTACAATAAATTAAATCACATTTTTATGTGCAATAAGTATTTGTGAGCTCCATGCATAGGTTATCCAGATGTGACCAATCAGATGGGGCAAAAAATAGCTCCTACATGTTTATTTTAATATGATCATAACATAAATGATTATTTTTAAAATTGCTAATTAAATAGCAAGTTGGGATATATCATAAGAAATATCATTATTGCAACACTCAACATCAATATCACATATTTTCTGAATATCGTGCAGCCCTAATTTGGTGGTGCAAGTGGTTTGGCACACACAGACTGGAATTAAGAACCACTGCAGTAAGTGATGCTGTGTTTTGTGTGCTCTGATCTGGTCGCTGGTCTCTGTGTTTCAGGAACTTGGCTCTGGGTGGAGGTTTGCTGCTGCTGCTCGCCGAGTCTCGTTCTGAGGGCAGGAGTATGTTTGCTGGAGTTCCCACAATGAGAGAGAGCTCTCCGAAACAGTACATGCAGCTCGGTGGCAGAGTCCTACTGGTGCTCATGTTTATGACGCTGCTACACTTTGACACAAGCTTCCTCTCGGTACGTAAGCCTCCTCACACTGATTAAAGGGTCAAACTCATCAAAGACGGATCTAGATTATAATTCACCCAAAAATATATATACAGTTTAACAAAATGATTAGCCCCACTTTGATTTTTTTTCTTTTTCTTTTATTAAATATTTCCCAAATTATGTGTAACAGAGCAAGGAAATTTTCACAGTATGTCTGATAATATTTTTTCTTCTGGAGAAAGTGTTATTTGTTTTATTTCAGCTAGAATAAAAGCACCTTTGAAATTTTTAAACACCATTTTAAGGTAAATTATTAGCCCCTTTAAGCTATTTATTATTTCAATAGTCTACAGAACAAACCGTCGTTATGCAATAACTCGCCTAATTACCCTAACTTACCTAGTTAACCTAAATAACCTAGTTAAGCCTTTAAATGTCACTTTATAATAATTCTGACTTCAGCTGTATTCTCAGTTGTTGATCATATATAATCTCAACTCAACATTGCATATCCTGCGATGTGACTCTTTGAGGACACACATCGCGACATCAATGCTTTAATGATTTATTGTGCAGTCCTACATTGTTGAAACAAGCTTTGAAATTGATTGAAAACTTTAATAAGCCTCGTTCATATGCGAGCTTGAATGTGGAAATTCATCACTGTTTATAGTTGGCCTTTTCAGGCTTTATAGGTGTGCTCATAAACCGTCATCGCATGACTTGGCAAAACATGTTTGTTTTATTGCCCTGGTTTGAGCGGATATCTGCTTCAGCCTCACAGTCATGCCGATGATGATGATGCTTTGATTGTGCTCAGGATGTGGCTTGGTGGAAGTGTCAGTTTTTCGTGTGATGTCTCAAAACATATTTAGTGCATCTCTGTGTAAATGCTGTAGGAAGGGCAGTCCTCATGCTTCATTCGGTTTGCAAACATGAAAGCTATAAAGGACATGTCAAATAAATCACAATCTGTTCTGATGCTGCCTTGGACAGCAAGTACAAATCTGAAAGTATCTATAAAGTATGGTTTATTTTGTTTTGCTTTTTCAGATTGATTTTAACTAAGCTAGGTTTATGTGTTGTGATATCGGAAGTAAATGTTATTTTAATTTTTTTGAGGAAGTGTTTTTGTGATGATGCCTTGGCTGGTTTATATTCACTTTATTCTCCGCCGATGAGCGGGCGCTGCCATTTGAATCTTTTTGGCACAAGACTTCCGGTCTCATTCACTTCCATTCATTTTTTTGACGTTAAAAACTGCTCATTACGCTGCTTGATGTTGCAATTTGATATTTTCTTATTATATTATTCTACTTGGTCTGCATAGTCATGCAAACATTTGTTTGTAGAGCAAGTAGTTTGACCCTTTTCTGCCGTTTATTATTCCTAGTCATTTCTCCCATAGGCGACTGAATCGGAAGTTCTAAGACAATCGCGAAAACAGGCGCACATCCGCATTTTAGAATAAGGTCAATAGAAACAGTTTTTTTTGCGACTGGGTAAAATATTTATTAGGTAATTGTGGCCTTTATCTTGCAGTTCTAACTTTTCTACTTGTAATTGTGCGGTTTTGTGAATTGTGAGATCTAAAGTCTAGTTCTCGGTCAATTTTCAGATTTCAGTGTCCCCAATCCTTCAGAAATCATTTCAGTATTCTGTTTTGCTGTTAAAGATTTATTCTCCATGTTGAAAACAGTTCCACCACTTCATACTTGTATAGAAAAAATGCAGTCTCGATAATTATTTTCCATATCGAACAATGACGATATATATTTTGATACTAGTTGTTAATGCTTTTAGATTGTAAAGAGTAACCCAATGGCATAACATATTTTTGGAAGCCAAAAATTCGGTAAATCTCTAATAATCAGCACACTTTTAGATTCCCATTGTTGTACATTTCTGCTGTGTAATTTGGCTCTTAATTCAACACAGAGTAGAGATGTCTCAATACAACATTTTAACTTCCGATATGATACCGATATTGCAACCTTCTGTACGAACCGATATAAATCCGATATCAGCACAAATCATGAATACTTTACTCTTACCTATTTCGTTGAGTGGAATGTATGAACGGCTAGATCGAAGCAGGTCAGCAACAGTAAGCATGGAAAAAAAAAACTAATGTATTAAATATTGTTTGCATAAATGTGAACCTTTTATATAAGAATATATATAAAAGAATTAAAGTTTAAATAATAAAATAAATATATTATTGTTTATTCAATTTATATTTCTTAAAGTGCAAAATACTAATTAAAGGTCACTTCAGTTATTTATTTTTTACCATCAGCAAATAGTAGAAACAGCTGAGAGCAGGAACATAAGAAAAAAAAAAACGTTGTTAATTGAACAACTGCTAAAGGTTGTGTGTCCAAAGTTTCAATTTCACACACAGCTTTTTGATGAATTTTTGATCCAATTTCGAGCTGAGAAATATCTTTCACACTGGGGAAGAGATATAAGTTATTGTTAAATTAATAGAAATGTGCAGTATGGTTTGTACAAACATTTACATGATTAGATCTATTTCATCTGTGTTTGTATCATAATAAGATTATGGCTGTATCAATGTTCCTAAACCTTTTTAATTTTATAATAAAATATATTGCACATATTATCTTAAACAAATATACTTGCAGTAGATGGATTGAAACACACCTTTTCTCCACAGCACATAAAATAAGGTGACTTTTTCAAGAATAATTTTATTTAGCAAAATTCATTTTATTTGCATAATATATTGCACGGATTCCACTCTACTTCCCACATGGGAAAAGTATGACAATGTAAATTGAGACGGAACTGCAAAATTATGTGCAAAGCTGACACTGCAGTCCGATATAGTTTTTTTGGACTGATATCGGACCTATTTCGGATATCAATATCGGATCGGGACATTCCAATACGGAGTACAAAAGTTCAGAGTTTATCATTGTTATTGACACACATTTTATAACGATTCGATATAATACTGTTTATCGGCCCTGCCCTAGAATGTATGTATGTAATGCGTTTGTCTGTATTTATGTGTGTACATATTGTGAGTGTATGATAAAACAACCCCTGTTAATACACAAATAGTGAGTGTGATGGCCAGTAAATGGCTAGTTAAATAGTTAGTATATTGTTTTATTTACTTTTTCGAATATCCAATGTGATGTTTAATACATAAAGTTCTAAAAATAAGAATCATCATCTTTTTTTAACCATTAAAAATCTTCCTCCTTTATTGTAAAATTCCATTTCACCACTAGATGTCACACTTGGACTGGCTTTTAGGTTCAATAATTTCTAAAACAGTTGTGTTGTGCCGAGAAACACACCGCTGCTGTAAAATGCTCCCTCTTTACAGACTTTCATTAGAACTCCCAGTCTACATTTTTTTAAAAATCAAAGGCCGCTTTTGATTAAAACGTAATATGATTACATTTTGATGGATAAAGCAAGTACAAGAAATGGGTGAAACCCTTTTTAAAATGCACTTAATAACCTAGTTAAGCCTTTAAATGTCACTAAGCTGTATAGAAGTGTCTTAAAAAAAATCTAGTCAAATATTATTTATTGTCATCATGGCAAAGATAAAAGAAATCCGTTATTAGAGATGAGTTAATAAAACTATCAAGGTTAGAAATGTGTTAAAAAACTTTTCTCTCCATGAAATAGAAATTGGGGAAAAAATTAATGGGGGACAAATAATTTAGGGAGGATAATAATTCTGACTTAATTTTTAGAAAAAAAGTATGTGTGTTTGTGTATTTATATATGCATTTTATCATCTTTGCATCAAATTGCAAAAAACAAATTACCGCTTGCGCTAGGTGTTTGTATTGCAGCGTCTATAGGCAGGACAGTAAATTTCACGTTACTTTCTCTTCTGGCTGCCGTTATCACTCACAATTCTTCAATTTGTTTTCTGAAAGTCTTGATAACACCATCATAGTTTGCCCTTTTAATACTTCACCGAATACAATAGTAAAAGCTGCACTCTAAGTTTACCCAACTATGAAAATTCTGTTACCGAGAAACCCGAAAATGTGAAAAGAGTTCATAGAGTTGTCTAAATAACTTCCTTTTATCTAAAACATCTTTTTGTTCCCCCTCAGATCTTACAGAACCTTGTGGGCACAGCTCTCATCGTCCTGGTAGCGATCGGTTTCAAGACCAAACTGGCTGCCCTCACCCTGGTCATCTGGCTGCTGGCTATAAACGTCTACTTTAACGCCTTCTGGACCATTCCAGCATACAAACCCATGCACGACTTCCTCAAATACGACTTCTTCCAGACCACGTCAGTGATCGGAGGTCTTCTGCTGATCGTAGCGCTCGGTCCGGGTGGAGTGTCAATGGATGAGAAGAAGAAAGAGTGGTGAGACGGGACTCTCCTCAAAATGGCTCACTCAGTAGTTTGTTTGTTTTTTTTTCTGTGCAGTTATCACTCGAAGCAGGTACACTACTTAGGGAGGAAAGAGCCAATTGAGACGTGGCCTCACAAAATCAAAATCAAAAAACACCCCAGGACCAACAGATTGACCCGCTCCACTGTCCACATCTCATGCACTGTCTGTGTTTTCATCGTTGTGTGCTTACTGAATTTATTTTCTACCAGCACTTTTAGACATGTATTAGTTTAACATATTTATTTTCTAAATGGTCGGGTCCGATTCTGTTATTTGAGAACCCCTTTGAAAATCTGTGTTATAAAAGCTGGGACCATGTTGAATGAATAACCGTTTTGTTTGGGGGTTTTTTTGGCCATTTTACTTTGCCTTTTTTATTTCGGTGCCAATTGCAAGTCAATGTACCAAAGACATCATCCCGTTGGAAATAAGTACACGGCAAAAAAAAAATTCTTTCATTGAATTTTTTTGTCTTGTTTATTGTCCAAATATCTAAAAAAATTCTTAAATCAAGCAGCATTTTCTAGACAAGTAAAAATATGGTTTTGGTTTCAGAAAGAAGTCATAATTAAGTGAATTTTTCTTTAAAACAAGCAAATGAATCAGTCAGTGGGGTAAGAAAAATAATCTTAGTTCAAACTGAAACAATAATTTTCTTTTATATAACCCGTTTGCAGATTATCAAGCTTGTTTTTTTAGCCAAAACTAGTAGTACAGATATCTAAACAAAATAAATCAAGAAGCATTTTCTTGACTAAAGTCTTGTTTTCGGAAATAATAAAAAAGTCAAAATGAAGTGAGTTTTTACTTAAAACAATATAATTGTTTACCAATGGGGTAAAATCGTATAAAACCTAAAACAATATTATTTTGCTTGAACCTTTAGCTTGCTTTAAGGAAAAACGAAGGAAAATAATATTGTTTTCTTTTTGAAAAGAGATTTTGTTTTGTTTTTAGTCCAAATATTAAAAAGTTCTAAAATCAAACACCTTTTTGTAGAGCAATAAAAGACTTTGTTTTGTTTTCTGAAATAATAAGTAAGAAACAAGAAATGTTTTTCTTCAAACAAGCGGTATCATCTGCCAATGGGGTAAGAAAAATAATATTTGAACCCAAATAACATTCTATAACATAATATCATGTAACCCTTTTGCAGATTATTTAGCTTGTTTTAAGGCAAAACGTTGTCTTGTTTCTAAACCAAATAACTAAAAAAATGTTATGAAGAAGCAAGATTTGATTGTAGAATTTAGTCTAGAATTTTCTAGACTAGTCAAAAATGTTGTTTTGTTTTCAGAAATAAATCAAAATTAAGCACCTTTTCTTTTCTTTCCTAAAACAAGATAATTATTTACCCAAAATAATAAATGATAATAATTTTAAACAGGAAAATAAATAGTTTTTTTTTTACTTAGTTTTTCTTAAACAAGCTAAAGGCCTAAGTAAAATAATATTGTTTTTGCTTTGAGAAGAAGTTTTTTTGTTTTTGATTAGAGTTTTGGTCTTGTTTTTAGTCCAAATATCTAAAAGTTCTTAAATCAAGAAGCATTTTGTAGACCGGCAAAAAAATGTTGATTTGTTTTCAAAAATAAGTCATAATTAAATGGATTTTTCCTTAAAACAAGATCAATGTTTACCAATGGGGTAAAAATAATACTCATTTCAAACTGAAAACAATATTGTTTTACTTGGCCCTTTAGCTTGCTTTAAGGTAAAACTAAGTAAAATAATATTATATGTTTTCTTTTTGAGAAGAGATTTTTTTTTTCTTGTTTTTAGTCCAAATATCTTAAGTTCTTTAATCAAGCAAAATTTTGGAGACAAGTAAAAAAAATCTGTCAGTCAAGAAGCATTTCTAGACTAATTATTACAAATTACAACAACAAAGGAATAATAATAAGAAATAATAAAGTTCCTTAAAAACTAGCAAAATACTTGCCAGCGGGATAAAAATAATAAAAGTATCAAAGCAAAAACAATATTATTTTACTTAATCCTTTAGCTTGTTTTGTAGTAAAATAATATTGTTTTTTGTTTAAAACAATTATTATTTTTACCCCATTGGTAAAAAATGTTTTCAGAAATAAGGTGTTATAAGGAGTTTTTATTTAAAACAAACTGTATATTTAACAATAGGGTAAAAAAAAACTCTTATCAAATCAAAAACAATATTATTCTACTTCGTCTCTTCATAAACCAAGCAAAGGGCTAAGTAAAATAATATTAAAAAGATTCTAATTTTTATCCCAATGGCAAATATTTTGTTTGTTTTAAGGAAGTATATTTTTAATTGTCTTTGACATAAAATACTTTGTTTTCAGATATTTTTTTTCTTGTCTAGAGCAGTGTTTCTCAACCCTGTTCCTGAAGACACACCAACAGTACACATTTTTAAACTAATCAAACACACCTGAATCAACTCATCAGGACATTAGAAGAAACTCCAAAACCTGAAATGAATGGGTCAGATAGGGGAGACATCCAAAATATGTACTGTTGATGCGCCTCCAGAAACAAGGATGGGAAACACTGCTTTAGAAAATGATTCTTGAATAAGAATTTAGATATCTGGACTAAAAACAAGACAAAGAAAATCTTTTTTTTTTTTTTTTTTTTTTTTTTTTTTTTTTTTTGCAGTGTGTAAAATTAATTGAAGCCCTTTTGGTTTGAATCTGAAGTAAATGGGAAGTGGATGTCATTGAGTTTTTTCTTGGTCATTTGTGTGTGTGTGTGTGTCTGTTCTGTCTTTCTGTCTGTGTGTCTGTCACCACTGGGTTTGGACTGTTAACCCAGTGTACAGGAATGTTCATGTTAATCTTCCCCAAACAAGTCCACAAAAAAGATTCGTATTCATTAGTCTTTTCTGTCATTTCAATGTAAAAATGAAAAACATTTGAGGAGCATTGCAATCCATTCTCCACATCTACCGGCTTCTCATGTTGGTGTTCGTTTTTCTTCTTCGTGTTTTTGCTTTCTGTTGTCAGGTCACTTTAAAGTTTACAGCAGGTGAGTTCTAGTGTTTCTCCAAACAAGCAGAGAGCGAGATGAGAATATTGAAACCCTGTGGTTTGTCAGACTCAGTGTTTATCCTCTTTGTATGAAAAAAAAGAAATATTGATTTTTCTAAATGTTTTAAATATTTGTTTTTGACATATAAAGGGAAAAGAAAAATTAATATCTTGTGTTTTTTTTCTTTTATTAAAGAGTTCAGCTTTTTTTTTTTTTTAAACCAACAATAAATCTGTAATGAAAACAAACTTTTATTTTTCTTACATTGTTGTGCTCAACCCAAAACATATATTGATCTGTGATGATCAACATGTCCTTCAAACCTTCACAACAAGCAGAAATGAACTTGATCGGCTCTCGTCTGTTGTTTGTTTAAACTACTTCTTTAAAATAAGCTGACACAAAACTACTCTTGAGGGTTTTTTTTTTTTGGGACAGCTTGATTGTTTTGTTCAATCCACTTAAATTTGTAAAAACTAATGTTAACTTAATTCCTTCATGTTGTCTCAACACAAACCGGTTGTGTGGAACCCAGCATTTGACAGTGCTGAAAATGTGGATAGCAGGTCTGCCTTAACAGTTTATATAATTTAATTATAATTTTTTTTACACTTAAAAACTGGGCCTCTATGCTCCTCCAGGGGGCAGTGTGGGTGAGCTGAAAGCCTTGTATATGTTTAAGGACTATGTAAAAGCATAAAAGTTTAATTATTAATAAATAGTTTTAAAAATGATTAATTTAAATAAGCAAAATATTAAGATTAAAAAGGGTGAGTTCTAGTGTTCCTCCAAACAAGCAGAGAGCGAGATGAGAATATTGAAACCCTGTGGTTTGTCAGACTCAGTGTTTATCCTCTTTGTATGAAAAAAAAGAAATATTGATTTTTCTAAATGTTTTAAATATTTGTTTTTGACATATAAAGGGAAAAGAAAAATTAATATCTTGTGTTTTTTTTCTTTTATTAAAGAGTTCAGCTTTTTTTTTTTTTAAACCAACAATAAATCTGTAATGAAAACAAACTTTTATTTTTCTTACATTGTTGTGCTCAACCCAAAACATATATTGATCTGTGATGATCAACATGTCCTTCAAACCTTCACAACAAGCAGAAATGAACTTGATCGGCTCTCGTCTGTTGTTTGTTTAAACTACTTCTTTAAAATAAGCTGACACAAAACTACTCTTGAGGGTTTTTTTTTTTTGGGACAGCTTGATTGTTTTGTTCAATCCACTTAAATTTGTAAAAACTAATGTTAACTTAATTCCTTCATGTTGTCTCAACACAAACCGGTTGTGTGGAACCCAGCATTTGACAGTGCTGAAAATGTGGATAGCAGGTCTGCCTTAACAGTTTATATAATTTAATTATAATTTTTTTTACACTTAAAAACTGGGCCTCTATGCTCCTCCAGGGGGCAGTGTGGGTGAGCTGAAAGCCTTGTATATGTTTAAGGACTATGTAAAAGCATAAAAGTTTAATTATTAATAAATAGTTTTAAAAATGATTAATTTAAATAAGCAAAATATTAAGATTAAAAAGGGTGAGTTCTAGTGTTCCTCCAAACAAGCAGAGAGCGAGATGAGAGTATTGAAGCCCTGTGGTTTGTTAGACTCAGTGTTTATCCTCTTTGTTTGAAAAAATTAATATTGATTTTCTAAGTGTTTTAAATATTTGTTTTTAACATACAAAGGGAAAAGAAAAAATTATATCTTGTGTTTCTTTTCTTTTATTAAAGAGTTTTTTTAAACTAACAATAAATCTGTAGTGAAAACAAACTAAACTTTTTTTTCTTGCGTTGTTGTGCTCTAAACCTAAAATATATAAGCTTGATCTGTGATCATGTCCTCCAGACCTTAACAACATGCAGAAATTAACAACTCGATTGGTCTGTTGTTTGTTAAAAATGAGTCGACTCAACATATACTTAAAGGTTTTTTTGTGACATTTTGATTGGTTTGTTCAATCCACCTAAATTTGTAAAATCCAATAAGTTAACTTATTCACATGTTGTCTCAACACACACAGATTGTGAGGAACACAGCATTTTTATAGTGCTGAAAATGTGAATTATTTTATTATAATTTTTTTACACTTAAAAACTGGGCCTCTATGGTCCTCCAGGGGGCAGTGAGGGTGGGCTGAAAGCCTTATATATGTTTAAAGAAAATGTAAACGTATAAAAGTTTAAATATTAATAAATAGTTTGAAAATAAAAACCAGATTAAATAAGCAAAATATTAAGATTAAGAAACAAATAGAATTCTAGTGTTTCTCCAAACAAGCAGAGAGCGAAATGAGAATATTGAAACCCTTTGGTTTGCCAGACTCACTGTTTATCCTCTGTGTGTGAAAAAAAATGAAATATTGATTTTCTAAGTGTTTTAACTATTTGTTTTTGACATAA